GGCCAGTCCGAAGGGCGGCGGAGTTGCGCCACGCCCACCCGTCTTCACTGGGCAGGGAAGGCAGAAGCCCCAGAGTCCAGGGCCTCCCGGAGTGTTCGCAGCCGCCCCAAGTGCTCCCTCCCCCGCCTTCCCCACCACCTAGAAAGCTGTCCAAGTGGAACAGCCTGCAGCTATTACAATAAACACCTCAGCCGCAACCTGTCTCTCATTTGCATATTAGCAGCCTTAATTCTGATGAAATATGCAAATGTATGCAAAATGAAATTCATCTCATAATGACACAAGGCGATTAAACAATTTTTATGCTTAAATATTCTGTTTAATGAAATCAAACAGACCTGCGCGTGTGACAAATTCTCCACAGCATGGAGAAATTGGGATATATGTACGCCTGTGTGCTATATACGTACACATAGGCACACACACACACACACACACACATATGAATATCAAGTCTCTAGCACCCTCAGAATGTCCTAGACCTGCTTGCTTTTTGGTAAGGAGAAAGAGAGAAAAAAATAAGTGGTTTTGGTAACCAAATGAACTGAAAATGATATTACTGAAAACTGCTAAAATAAGTTAGAAGCAATATGCCTTTGTTTCCAGCGCCTGCCTGGATTCGGGCTCCACCCCGCATCAGCAAAGCCGGCCAGAAGGTATCTCTGCATCTTCCATCGCTCGGGCCGGGGTCACGGCAGCGGGGAGGCTGCTCAGCCACAACCTCAGGCCAGACATGGAACGGGGAGCCCTCCGTGCGCTGTCCCCGGGGTGGCCGGCTGCAGCGTCCCTGTGCCCCGCTTGCTTGTTGTGCTCACGCGGGCAGAACGTTTCTTGCTTTGGCCGGTGGGAGAGAGTCTGAGGGCATTGCTGCTCGTAGCCCTGCTGGGGTAAAATGATTCTGGTTCTTCCCTGGAAGAGGAAGGAGACAGCGGCAGGGAGGAAAGACGGGGCTGAAGGGAAAGAAGTGTAAAAGAGTGAAGACGGCAGAGGTGTAGAAAAGACCTGGAGGCCAGGGATTTCGCTCAGTGGTGCCCCCGCCTGCCTTGTAAGCAAGGACCGAAGTTCGATCCTCGCTACCAAAAACCAAAACGAAAAGCAAAAAGAAGAGAGCTGTAGACAGACGGAAGTGGACGGACAAAGGACAACATGAAGAAGGCTAGCACTTCCCAGCCAAGGCTGTGTGCCCTCTCCTGAGTCGTCTCTCTGAGTGTGTAGAATGCATCGGGAATTGCTCTTTCTCTGAGCTTCTCTCTCCTCCAGGGGCAAAGGCTCCCCCGAGAGTCTGTGTGCACCCCACTCTTGGAGGAGGAGAGCTAAGCTGGGCTGGTATATGCAGGATCACATGGCTCCTCTCCAGAAGAAGCAGCAGGTGACAGCTGACAGCCCTGGGCCCCGGGGGGAGAGAGGTGAGGGAGAAGAGTCTCAGGGCTCAGAGGGGAGGTGGAGCCAGGGAGCCTTTAGCTTATCTGACTTTCCAGCAGATGACCTGAGCGCACGAGCCTCAGTTTGCCCAGCCGAGCAACGGGCAGAATGCCTTCCCCTGATTCTTAGGATCTCTTTTGGGTCTAATATATTACAACTTTATATCTAAATCCTCAACAAATAGACAACGTTCAAAAAGGTAATAAGGGAACAAGCTCACCAGTGATGGCTGGGGTGCACCTCGTACTGCCTGTTTGCCTGCCACTGTCCTAGAAGCTGGTTTACCTGTATGGTTTCATCGGCTCCTCAAAACCCGGGGAAGTAGGAATGATCATCATCCTTTCACAGCCTAGGGGACAGACTCAGAAACACCAGGACCCCAGCCGTGTCAGTGGTGAGGGAACAATTGACACCCAGATAATCTGGCCTCGGATCCTCTAATAATAATAACAACGATGACAATACAACTGCTGTCACTTGCAGTGTGTGTGCAGGGAGCCCTGGCGTAGCAGCCTGTAAGGTCCACAGCACACTTATTTCCAGGTTATTGCCGGGGAAAGGGGCGTAGAGGTGGCAACGGGTGAGCCTCAGGTCACGCAGCAGGCCGCGGCCGTGGGAGGAGCATCCGGGTATACCAGCTGGAGGCCAGCGCCCGGGAGGCCACCGGAACCCTCCAAGCAATCTCTCGGCATTCTTGGCCCTTTACCGTCTTGGCCTCCTTCTGGTTCTAAGGTTGATGGATTTTGAGATGAGGGCATTTCGTCAGAAAATTAGGAGCTATATTTATAAAGAATATTTCAGTGAGGAACGATATCACGGAGAGGCTGCTGGCTTCGTCATGCCCCCGGTGACAACTCGAGGAAGAGAGGGCACACAGCCTTCTGGAAACAGGAGTGTGGGGCGGGCCCTTTCCCCCGCAGCTAGAACAGAACGGAGCACTGTGATCTGGGCCCTCCACTGAGCGCCAAGTGCTGGGCCCCAGGCACCCACCTGGCTGTCTCTGTGCTCAGTGATGGAACAGCTTCGTGTGTTGGTCGCCACTGCAGCAGGGACTTGGGAGGATCACTACCAGGGCAGTCATCCGCGCCCTCTTTCAGCTCCTATTTACTTGCATGAATCTCTCGGGGAGCTGCGCGAATGAGACCTTACTCTCTGCTGCCTGCCAGTACGTGAGGGGAGTGGAGGAGACACCAGGATGTGCAGCATTAAATTCAAAGGGCGCAGAGTCAGGGCGGCACCCAGAAGGAGTGAGAGGCAGCTGGGAGGATGTCAGAACTAGGCCTGCAGATACAGGAAGGGAAGGCACATCCGAGGAGAGGCCACGGGCTGGGGCCAGTGTGAAGGCCGGCAGGGTTGGGCTACGGGAAGAGCAGGGTTACAGCCACGCCAGGGGAGGGGGTGGAGTGTGCTGGGACGGAGCAAGGAGGCCAGTGGTGAGGTCCCTGGGACTCCAAAGAGGTGCCTGCAACTCCCAGGGCCTTGGCTTGGGCTGGTTTGCAGATGAGGCTGGATACACCCCCAGCTGTCGCCTGCGAGGAGAATCCTACCCCTGGACGTCCTGGCCCTGTATAATGAAGTGGCTCTGATACTAATTTGGGGATGATCATCAGAGACAAAAACAGTGAAGAGAAAATTATCCCCGATTTGGGCATCCAGAAGCCGCTTGCCTTTGTAGATACCAGAGGCAGTGGCACCAGGTGAGAACAGGAGCTCTGTGCCCACCTCCCAGCTCAGCCCTCACGTTTCCCGGTTTGGTCTGCAACCCCCCAGACCACACCCTGTCCCTAGAAGCTCCAGGGCCACAGTCAGAGCATCTGGCCATGGTGGACACAGCCTGTCTGCTCTGGGGACAGCACAGGGCCCTGGGGAGTGAGAGGTGGCCTGCGGGGTGGGTCCTGCTCCCTCTGAGCCGTGGCATGGTTTCCAGCCACTGGCTATGGGGGTGTGAGGGGCCCCCAGGTACATCCTGCCCCCCACAACTTCTCTACAGGAGAATTCCTTCTTAGTAAAGATCCCAAGGGATGGGATTGTAGACACTCTCTGCTCCTCGTGGGGCCAGCTAGTCCCGAGGCACCGAAGGGTGGCTCCTCCTCCCTTCCTCCATTTGATGGCCTGCTCTCCCTGTCTCCCTTCCTCCTTCCCTCTTGTTTTCTTACACAACTGAAAAGCATTGATTTTTACAAAGAAAAATAATCAAGCTCTTTCCAAAAGCAAAATCAATCAATCATCACCACACAGTGGGAGTAGCTCATTTATTTATTTAGCAAACTCCCATCTCCTGCTGGTGAGGAGCTGTCCGGACCACAGTTCCCAGTGGGCTAGACAGCACCCCAGATTCTCTCTGAACCCCAAGCCTTCAAGGGGACCCCACCCCCAACAGAACCAACTTTTGATGCAAGGGGGTGTGGATGGAGACCCTTGTCACTGGGGCCCACTCTGTCCCTCGGCCCGAGGCCTTCAGTTGAGTTCAGCAGAGAGTCAGTGTTTCCTCTGCAGCAGATCAAACAATGTGAGATGCAAATCCCCAGTGAGCCTCCAGCTCCCAGCCACCAGCATCCTCCCCACCCCCATGCAGCTGCTCCATGGTGACATCAAGCTCCCCCATGTGGGTCATATTGATCACCAGCGAGGAAGCTGTTCCCCAGGCTGAGCTCTGGCCAGCAGAGCAGGGCGTCAGGACTTGGGCAGATGCACACACTCCAGTGAGTCAGGGATGCCCTGCAGATTCCGGAAGGCTGGGAGCCCCCTGCCCCATCTGTCCCCCTGGGTGTTTCTTGCATTCTTTGGTGTTGCAGATCCTCCCTTCTCTCG